GTCTCGTATTAACAATTCAGGTGGATAATGGTGGTGTAATGGGTTGGTGGATATTTTCTTTCAACTGTTGGCCGCTCAGTACCAACTGAGTATCGTTTAAATGGCCCATCCTACCTAAGTATTGTTGCTGCCATGTCCAGCAGGATAACACAGCATGTGACAAAGCTCAAATCGCCTTAAACTATCAATATATCTGACATATATGTTTGAGAATTTTTGTCATCATTTTATTACGTTAAAGAAAAATAGTGCAGATTGTTTGAATATTATAGGTTTCTTTTTAAAAGAGGATGTGACACTTTTATTCATAGTCAAAAGCTAATAATAATAGTCCCCTACAGATATATTTGCCAGTGGAGATTGGCCTCTATTACAAGATGTGACAGCTCAAATGTTGCATTGTTTTTTGTTTTTTTTATAAGGAAACCTTTGTTATAATATCTGATCTTTGTGAGACCAACGTTGGTTATAATGTTTGATTCCAGGTGTGAGTGGCTGCAAGCTGCCATACAGAAATTTTTAAAACTGTGTTTGGGAGGTTTTTGTATTGAGGTGCAGTGATGTGCAGCACTGTGGTATCTAGCAGCACAGAAGTACACTCCACTGCTGCTTAGTTTGAGATACTTAATCGTTAATGTGCAGTTCTTGTGCTGTCTTCCATCCCCGTCCATTGTTATATTTACTCCAGGTTCTGGATTACTGTTATCATAATACATGTATCCAAGCAGTTGTAGCTGTTTCTCTGACTTCTTGTACCAGAGGATTGTGTCAAAGCTTGGATTACTGTGCCAGCAGTAGATTTTAGCTTCTTCTCCTTTTGTATAAATGTTTGCTGGACTCTGGTGGACTTGGTCACGTAAAGAGGAACCTGTTAGACAGACATCAAATAAAAATAAAACATAATATCTTATGTAAAATATAAAATCCAGCAATACAGCTTTAATTGTAGCACTCTATAATACTGTGTACATACTGAACATATTCATGACATTACCTGAAACTAGATTATAGTTTAAATAGATGCTTAGGAGCAGAATAATCATGATGCTTTGTGATGAACGATGTTCTCAGTTGTCTTGATCATTTCCATTCTTCTGTGTGAGTAAATGTTTATAGGAGGAAACCATCATTCATTGGGTGGAGTCTCAGTAATCCTCAGGTTATTATTAGAATAATTCACATGAGTAAGTCTGACTAGCGATATACTGCCTCCTTCTGAGAGGAAGTGTTACAGGTACGAGGGGCTGTGAAATGTGTGCATAAGAAATTAAATTTGATGATTGATAAGTTTAAAAAGCATTACTGAGATCAGCCTCATTCCTTTGAAACATTTATTTATTTACATTGTTTTGCTTTTTTTTTTTGTTTTCCTTGTTAATTTTTATATGTTTTCAACATCTGAAACCACAATAACTTTAAAAGCTATGTACAAGAAATTATCATGATGATTTACGTTTGTTTTTTGATGCTAGAGAACAGATCTAAATGAACACACAGCTTCAGACTAATAGAACGTCAACAGTAATTTAAATAAGCTTGCTATAACCAAGGCAGAATTCACAACATTTCATACCTTAAAGTTGATGACTACAACAACAGTAGAACACACTGGATTGCATGCCTGCTGTTAAAACAGGAAATTGAGGCTACTCTTTACACAGGCTTATCAAGATTGGAAAATGTTGACTAGTCTGATGAGTCAGCAGGATAACGCAACATGTGACAAAGCTCAAATCACCTTAAACTATTAATATGTGTGACTTATGATATGTGTGAGAATTTGTGTCGTCGTTTTACTATGTTCAAATGAGATACTGCAGATAGTTTTGGTATTGTAGGTTTCTTTTTAAAACATGATGTGACACTTTAGAAGTTCTGTTATAATATCTGATCTTTGTGAGACCAATGTTGGTTATAATCTTTGATCCCAGGTGTAAGTGGCTGCGAGCTGCCAAATTTTTAAAATGTGTTTGGGAGGTTTTTGTATGGTGGTGCAGTGATGTGCAGCACTGTGGTATCTAGCAGCACAGAAGTACACTCCACTGCTGCTTAGTTTGATATCCTTAATCGTTAATGTGCAGTTCTTGTGCTGTCTTGCATCCCCGTCCATTGTCATATTTACTCCAGGTTCTGGATAACTCTTATCATAATTCGTGTATCCAAGCAATTGTAGCTGTTTCTCTGACTGCTTGTACCAGAGGATTGTGTAAAAGTTTGGATTACTGTGTGAACAGTGGATTTTAGCTTCTTCTCCTTTTGTGTAAATGTCTGCTGGAGTCTGGTGGACTTGATCACTTG